TTCTTTAAACTGATGAACAATTCCGTTTTTGGTAAGACGATGGAGAATATTAGGAAACGTGTAAATATTGAAATAGTTAATGATGTCAATTGCAGAAACAAACTTGTGTCAGACGATGATTTTGTGAGCATGAAAATATTTAATGAAAATCTTGTTGGGATACAAAGAAGAAAAGTAAATCTAAAACTAAACAAGCCGATCTATGTTGGAGCTGCAGTGTTAGATTTATCAAAGTGGCTGATGTACGATTTTCATTACACTTTTGTTAAAAATCAGTGGCCGGCTAGTAGATTATTGTTTACTGATACTGATTCGCTCGTATATGAAATCGAATGTGAGGACATCTATCAGGACATGTACAATAATCGACATTTGTTTTGTCTTTCCGATTATCCACGTGAGAGTAAATTTCATGACGACACAAATAAAAAGGTTATTGGTAAGTTTAAAGATGAAATGAACTCAAGCGCTATCAAATACTTTATCGGATTACGTAGTAAAATGTATGCCGTATTATTGGACAATAATAAAATAACGAAAAAAGCAAAAGGTCTGCCTCGTGATTTTGTTAAAAAGTTTATGAAATTTGATGACTACAGGTATGCGCTTGATGGCGGTGTTAGTTTTATGAGAGCTATGGCAATTCGAACTAATCATCATAAACTCGAAACAGATGTCATTATCAAACGTGGATTGTATAATTTTGATGACAAACGCTATTGTAAAAATGGGGTAGATACATTTGCCATTGGGTATTGTCATGATGATAGATCTATACTCGACATTATCTTTTCCAACTGAAATTTTATCTAAACTTATAAAATAATGTTTGAAAATTTGACAATGACAAATAGCTACAATAGTAACATCAAATATCTAATGATGGACGGTAAACAAGTGACAGTTGAATTTAATAATGAAACATCAGGTACATGTTTTAATGGAACACGTGACAAGTTAAAACTTTCGCTCATCAGATCTGATAACAGCGTGTATTTCAATTATCTCGAACAATTGTATCAAAAGTTGCTAGCGGAATTTAAAAACTTTCACAGCCCCATTAGCCAACAAAACTATACTAAACTCACAATTGATCTCGATCGGTCAAAGGTATATTTTATCAACAAAAAATATCCTCTGAACAAACCAGAAATGAAAGATTTGTTTGAGTCCCATCGCTGTGTGTGCGGTAAAGTAAAATTTAGTATCTATAGTCGTGATAGGGAAGTATTTTTAATATCAACAGTTGAAACATTAATCATTGGTAATGAGATATAAAATAATATCATTTTCATTCTAATGCTAGTTTAATTTCCGCCTTGTTAACTGAAACGTTCTAATGCACAGTTTAATTTTCATCCTGTTATCTGATAAAAAAATTTGTGGTAAAACCTATTTGCCGTCTTTAGAATAATCATATTCCACACATACGCTGTTCTAACAAATTCGTCACTTCTGTTGACAGAGCTTATCGCATTCCAACTCCTGTTGTTTTGTCTGGTTACAAAATATCTGTCTACATAGTAGTAGTATAGGGAAATGAGGGTTTAGCGGGGGTGGGGGAGGAGGTGGGTGGGCCAAAACCTGTTGTTTTATCTGGTTACAAAATATCTGTCTACGTAATAGTAGTATAGGGAAATGAGGGTTTGGCGGGGGTGGGGGAGGAGGTGTGGGAGGGGGTGGTGGGTCAAAACCCTCATTTCCCTATACTACTATGGTGAGATGGCAGTGACCTGTAACGGTGAGTGCTTTAAATCACTCGGCCACTATGGGTCCACATTTCGCAGAGAAAATATAAACAGTTATATAAATCTCCTTTCCAATTCAAAAGAAATATGGCACATTAACAACATCAATAATTCATTACAATTATTATGCATGGAAAGTCTCTTACTCCACAGGCTATTATAAAATAAAACCTTATGTTAGTTTTTGTTTTAGTTGAAATTTATGAATATTATTGAACAGTTGTAATCACTGTCTATGAGTGGTTCAAAGCACTCACCTTTCCCTATCACTGCCATCTCACCTCTGTTTGTGTGGATTCGAGTTTCAGGCTCTGCTAACTTGGGTACATGAGAAAGCCTGAAAGTAGCTTTTTGTGGGGAAGTGGTTCTTTCTAGTGTTTTCAAGGGTTCTTCCGTCACCATTAATATTGGCTGTCAATATTGGCTGAAAATGGCATTAAACCATATAACAACAACAACATTCACTAGGTTGGCATACTCAAAAAGATTGCAACTATTCAACTCATTTGATAACATTTATTTCACACTGTTACTTTTGTAACATAGTCTGTGTATACTTTTAGATGACCATGCTTACTGTGAGCAGTCCTTCAGATAATCTGATGTAAGTACTAACGGCTATTTATAATTTGTTTTTTTATTTCATATTGTGTCTGCAGTCGTAATTTACTGAGATATTTTTATATAGTTTTGGTACATGTTTCTTCGACCTGTCATATTTGTTTTCCTTGTTTCCTGAATAGCCTAGGTTTTGAATCATTGTTCCATTTTCACCGTTTTGTAATGGTATTTTTTGCTGCATATGCTTACATGTTGCAGCATTAACTGAAACTCAACCATTTTGTTATTTTAATGACATGGTGCCTCCTTTGAGATTAAGGTTCACATTTACACTTTACAAACCAATTAATAGTTTCTATAAGTTCACAGATTGATGCATTCCCTGTATTTCATGTTGTATTTACTATTATAACATCGGTACCTGTTATTCATATTCCAAACAATATGAACAACAATTAGTCTGTTCTGACTTAAATCCGTGTATATTAATAATCAAATAATTTGACCTGTGTATAGATTAATTAGGTGACATCTATTTGAACTAAACTCTGCTACCAACGTCATTATGCTTTCTATTGCGTGACATTTCATTTTTAGGTCACGAGTTATTTTTACATATGTTACATATTTTCAGTGTATCATGTTGTTGCATTCGGATGTAGTAAATGCATCTATGTATAATAACTTATTGTTAGTGATCAGAAAGAATTATATAGGATGATTTTCTTTGGCATTACAATCACAATACTTGATGACTTCGCAATGATTCATTGTGAACTCGACATCATCACATATTGTATTACTTTTTTTGAATTCAATAAAGATCACAACTTATCTGATATAGCATGTTTAACGAATTTATGAGCATTAAATATGTCTGTGTTTTGTTTCAGTTTTTCAGTGGAAATCAGATATGTTACTTATTTATTCATGTATTTACAGTGTGCAGCTATGCAAGAGATTTTTTTGCTCCAGACTGTTTTACAGTTCATGTACCGTCACATGGTTATGCAGTAATAACAGTCAGAAACAAGTCACTGTTCTGTCTTCAGTGTGGAAAATTATGTGCACAGGGTGGAGAATCTTATTACTGACAGTTTGGAAAAAGACATGTCAGAGAGTGTGTACCGTATACTAGATGTGCTGGCGTGTAAGCCAGAGTACAGCCAGTACATGCTAAAAGCAGTATCAAGGAGGCAGATTCCATTTAACGCAGACAAAAACATGAAAACAAAACTATGGCCGAACCCAAAGAATTTATTTCCGGAAGTTAACGGTATCATGCAAGCGATTCCATTGGGTTTAAATTGCCTTAAATGTAGTGGTTATCTCCATAATGAATGCGTAGCTGAAATTCATCAGTCTACACTCTTAGCAAGATATGGCTGTATGCACATACAGTGTAAGTATTAACTAAAGGTCATTAATTGGCATTCAGATGTGTAATTGTTACCTGTATATTTTATTTTACACCTTAAATATTATGTATAAAAACTTCTTATACACCTAAGGAAAATACTGCACACAAAATCGTATCAGGACATATCAAAGTTTATGGACATTCTGTATGAATTGAATTATTAGCTAAGCAATTCAAATTACAAAAAAACTTGTCTCGTCTAAGATTGATTGATTGATTGATATTGTAACAGCGCACCAGCATTGTGAGGCTAATTAGCGCCAGATATAACGTTAAGTCCTTTTACATTTAAAACTGGTAAAATAATTTTATCGACCAGCGATTGGAGACCAAAGGGTTAAAGGTAATGCGTTAAAAATGGTAATGATGGTAAATAATTAAAAGTTTCCCGATCAACGGGGAGTGCAAATGTATGATAACGAAAACATATGATTGGCAATTAAAACTTGTCGACTGCATACATATAACACAAAACTGAACAAGGTGGTAAAATAAAAGCTATAACGTATGATAAATGTTGGCTTCCTAAAGGAAGTTTATGATGTTGGTAATGTTAACTGTATCAAAGAGCTCTCTCATGTCTTGCACAAAGTAGTAATGATTATGCGTAGGTTGAAGATCGAAGCATTTCAGCATAAAGTGCTTGACGGTGAATGGCTCATTACAAGCTATGCACTCTGGTGGATCGTCTCCGTTTAATATGTAGGAGTGTGTTAAACAAGTATGACCGACTCGAATTCTTGCAATGACTACATCCTCTCTACGGACGGATCTGTCGTCTAAGAATAACTGAATGATCAGTAAAATCATGAATTGTGAATAATTTCTTTTTCTTCAAAAAAGGTTTTATTCCATGTGAAATGGTTATAAATTAACAATCATAACAACAGTGTAGTTTGAATTTTATTATCATTTTTCATTGGCAGTAAGTTTTTTATAATGTCAAGTCAGAAACCATTCTTTGAAATATTTGTAAAGTAGATGTTGAACAAGCACATCCTTGATGCATTTTTTGTTGAGAACAACTCAGCATTGGATATCTCAAATCATATTCTATGAATTTATTTATGCCTTTGGATTGTTTGTGTTTGCATCACCGGAATCTCAGAGACTGCTTTGCCTTTTAGCTTTTTCTTTATTCCTGCTGAAATCAAGTCAATCTCCTGGATGGTTATAAATTTTATCCTAAATACAAATGAAAATATCTGTATGTACCATGACCAAAAATAATTGTTCAATCCATCTAACAAGTTGCCCACGGTTGTAAACAGGCGGTGGTTAAGTTGTTAGAGCGTCCGCCTCGGATGCAGGAGGCTGCGGGTTTGAATTCCGGCCGAACCATACCGAATATTTTTTTTAAATGGTACTAACACTCCTTGCTTGGCGCTCAGCATTAAGACGCTAATATTAGGACTGGTCGGCCTGGTGTCAGGCTAATGTGACTGGGTGCGACATCATGCCATATGTCTGCGACAAGATGCACCATTGCTAGACATCACTATACTGTCACACTGCAGATAACAAATATTGGTAAAGTGCATGTTTAACAAGCACATCTTTGATGCATTTTTTTTTTGTTGACAACAACTCAGTATTGGATATCTCAAATCATATTCTATGAATTTATTCCTTTGGATATTTTTTACATGAAAGGATAGATAGGATGATCATAGATGACCTTTCAAAATTGAGTTAAAATCCATCTACTTTTTTGGTTCACCATTTGAATTTTTATGATTTAAAAAAATTATCTTGCAATAAAGATAATGATGGCACCATTTTATAATAACAATGCCATCCTAAATGAATATTATAATATTGGTGAAATTTATCCACTTCTGTGAAGAAGATCTGGATATTCCTAATGAAAATAAACTTTCCTTATCCTGACATTTACAATAGAATAACATCCTGTGTTTCAGTATTATTTTCTTGATGGAACATAATCTCTTATAATTGTGCATGAGTGCAATGTTCCCTCTAAACTGAGCGAATGAGCGATCGCTCACTAATTTTCGAGACGTCGCTCACATTTTTCGGACCGTCGCTCACAAAAATTCCCGACCAGAAAAAATAATGGCTCTATATAAATTACTCTCACACCTGTCAATTTTAAGTTAAGCCACATCCGGCGACTTCCGCCACGTCTATATCGCTCTTGGTTCGGCAAATTCTTTTGAGTTCTATATTTCAAACTCAAAGTAGTGTAGTTCAGCGCTAAAATTAATTATTTTCTAACCATGTTTAAACGAGAAGCGGAAGAAAGTTCATGTAAGTCAGCGAAAAAACGTTGCATGAAATTTAAAACGGAGTGGTTAACCGAATGTTCTGTGGTAACGGACTTACCACATGGGACCGGACAACACGTGCTCCTTGGTGAAGTTTTTGAATACTCAGAGACAGATGACATGGTATTCTGCAAATTTTGCGTTAAAGCGCGATGTACTAATGAATGGACAACAGGAAAATCATGGAGCGACTGGAAAGTGGATCATTTTAAAAGACATTTGACGCAGAAATATCATACCGAAGCGATCACAAAGCTTAGAAACCAAAGTAGAGGACTGCTGAAAACCATACTAACGGAATCTGTACAAGAACGCGAAATTAGAAAAGAATTCGCTCAAAGAAAGCAGGCAACTCCTGATGAGGTAAAGGTTTTAATAGACAATGTTCTGCTGGCTGTTAAAATTAATTCCTCAATGCTATCAGTCCAGGATATTCATGATCACGTGGCTAAGTATGTTAAAATACCAGAAAGTTGGCGAAGTAAAAACTATGCCTTTGAGTTCATCAATTGTATAAATTCAACCATCAAGACTGGTATACTGAAGGAAATTAAGCAATCAGCTTATCACACTCTGATAGTTGATGAATCCACTGACATTTCGGTGTCAAAAATGTTAATTTTATATATGAAATTTCGGAATGAAAGTGAATCAAATCACAAAACTGTGTTCGCAGGCATTATTAAAATAACATCATGCGACAGTGTGTCGATCTTAGGGGCCATTCGAAAGTTCTATTTGGAAAATGAACTGAATTTGAATCAGATGGTAATGTTTACATCGGATGGCGCATCGGTCATGCTGGGCAAACGAAATGGTGTGGCTGCTCTTTTGCGCCAGTCCATTCCACACTTATCTGAACAACATTGTGTGGCACATCGTGAGGATCTCGGCATAGATGATGCATGGAGATGCATACCCTTGATGAAGGAACTAGAAACTCTATTTCGAACCGTTTATACTATTTTTTCCCGATCGTCTGTTAAGAAGGCAAAATTTGAGGAATTTGCTAATACTGCAGAGGCTGATGCAATTTCTTTTAGACCACTTAACGAGGTCAGATGGCTCTCCAGACATTTTGCAGTGAATGCCTTGGTCAAAAACTATGATATTTTAGTGGAATACTTGCGACAAGTTGTTGAGGAAGACAACGATCCTGTTCACAAATACTGCCTGCAGAAATTAGAAAATCCAGAATATCATGTCGCAATCGTAATATTAAATGAAATTCTAGCTGAGCTAGCAGATCTGTGTAAAATTCTGCAAAGAAGTGTTCTATCAACTGTAGAGGCTTTTCAGTTTGCAAAAGCAAAAGTCATGAAACTCAGGTCACAGTATCTCGGAGATAAGCCACATTTTCATAAAAGTACACTTGATTTGCTTTCCTCATATCATTCTCCAGTGAAAACAGATTCAATTATTATGTTCATTCAGCAGACATGTGACCACATGGACCATCGATTTCCAGATGATGAATTGAAAGATTGGCTAGTGTTCGATAAAGACTGTTTCACTGCATCTGCCAATCTAGACAATTATTCGTTTGGATTTGAGCAAATCAAGAGACTCGCAGAGAAATATTGCGGTCTGCTGAGAAAAGATGGCAAATCCCTACAAGCGGATCTTTGCAACCAATATCCGGAGTTCAAAATACTGATCAAGGAAAAATTACAAATGGGAGCAGTGACAACATTTTCAGATATAGTTTCATTTACTGCCCAACAGGATCAATTCAAGGAACTATTTTCACTTTTGGACATCTGTGGCACATTCCAGGCCTCAAGTGCTGACTGCGAAAGAGGATTCAGTCTGATGAACAACATAAAGACAAAATCTAGAAATCGTCTCGAAGTTGAACATTTGGACAATTTGATGCGAATTAAATTCTTTTTAAATTCTGGACAGATGGTGGATATTGATGCGGTCTATGACTTATGGAAAACAGAAAAGAACAGAAGAGAAACTGTTTTCAAAGCCGACTAAACAGGCTTCAAGTTGAAAACTTATAATAAATTGTTTGGTATCACTTACGTCTATTTTTCAATACTTAAATTTAAGTTCTTTAAATATACATTGCTGTAATATACAAAATTGTCTAATATGCATTTAATATATACAAAATTGTCTAGTATGCATTTAGTATTTAATATTTTAAATATTTAATATTTATTTTTATTTAATACCAAAATGCACCGCTAAAACTGGTGCTCAGAAATTGCGGGTTTAAAAAATTTGTCGCTCATACGAAAAAAAAATTGCTCACTCTTGGTCACTCCTTAGAGGGAACATTGCATGAGTGAACAGCTTCAAAACATAAATCATACAAAACACTCCCACTGAATATGAAATGAATAGCAGTGTTCTAATTCCATATTCTAAATTGACATTGCTTGTTTAAAAAAGTGAAATGTAAAAAAAAGGTTCTATGGTTGTTCTTTAATATCATCAATTTTTTAGAAGTAACGTACATAGAAATAATTTGGTTATTGTAACAAAAGATGGGTGTATGCTTTATGTTTGCAAATTCTGAATGCCAAATTACTTAATCATTTACAGTAATCAAGATGTTGATATTGGGCTAAAAGTACCTTTGTTTTAGGTGGTCAATTGTTATCAGATGATGTTATTAGTGTTAATCCACATCTACAAGTGTTAGTTCCAGTGGCGTAGCTATCTTGTCATGGGGCATGAGAACAAACTTTTGTACTGCCAACTTCCTTACTGTCATTTTTTTTTGTTGGCCTGGGTTCCACTGCACGACTGTACAGGCTACAACTTTTTATGCCACTCGACAATTCTTAGTATCTTATATCACAATGACATTAGCTTTATTCAGTTTTTCATTTCCATTTTTTGTTTTTAGCCTATTTTAGATTGCGCTCAAATCAAGATTGTGATGGAAAGCTTCAGTATGATGGGCAGACTGAATGTGTACTCAATATGGAACGATTTCTTGTCCACTATGATGTGTTAGAGATTTCATGTTCCAGTTTCTTTATTCTAGGTATATATTGCTGGGTCAAAATTATCTCTGTTTGATCTTTACTGTATTTTGGGCATTTCTTTCTTTATTTGTAAATTATTTTTATCTGTACTTTGAGACTAAGAGGCATGCGTGGTCGTAAAGAACTTTCAACGTTATCGTACCAAAAATCGATTAAACATGATACAGTTTCTAAATATTTATGATAATCAAACTAATATGAAGACAATGGTATACTGCTGATTAATTTCTACAAACGTCCAATATTTACATTATTGTGGGGCGAAATGTCCTGAGCCGAAACGTCCATGGGGAAAACGTCAATAACCCATTTCATACAGTCAATAACGCAATGCACTTATAAAATTCGTTTCCACAATTAAAGTCAATAACGCCCCTGCATTTATAAAATTGGTTCCCACAATTTAGTTCTGCTGTAAAAAAAAATGATTACCGTAGTATTGAAGTTGAATTTACAAGTGCAGTTAGCAAAGGAATCTGGGTATGTGTGTTTTTCTCAGCGTCATGACTATAAGCGGCTTTGGCAGTCAACTTCCTGCGAAAGAGCCAATGAGAATCCGGTGCTTTGTCAGGTGATTGTATAGGAATTTGTGGAATATTGTAACTCCGGAAAACCATCAATTGTGAATGCGAACCATTATAACAACGATTTGGACAACCTACACATCTGCTAACAGGTGACATCCATATTTTCATTTACCCAAATTTAATCTAAGCTTTGGACGGACCGATATAAAGGTGAAATTTGTGACAAAATGTTTGGGCAATGTTCCACTGTGAAGAGTAACATGAAAATACATACTGGAGATAAAACATTTAGATGTAAACTTTGTGGTAAAATGTTTGGACGGAGTTGTGATTTGAAGGTCCACATGAGGATACATAATGGAGACAAACCATTCAAATCTGTTGTTTGTGATAAAATGTTTGGACAGATTAGTCATTTGAAGGACCACATGAGGATACATATTGGGGATAAACCATTCAAGTGACAAGTTTGTGATGAAATGTTTAGAAAAAATTGTCATTTAAAGAAACACATGAGAAAA